GGTAGCTCCCCAGAGCCGAACCCTTGGGTCCTCACAGATCTCCATCTGCTGAGCCTGGCTCTTGCCATACGCACACGTACAGTCCAGAAGCGAGGCTGGCGGCAGGAGCAAGCAGTGCCTGTGGCAAAGACAGAGAGACTCAGAGCGGCATCAGCATCAAGCCACAGAGCAAGTCGCCTTCGGTATCCGCAGTGTGGGGCAGCCAGCAGGGAGGGCAGGGTGCCCTCGTCAGGAGCCTGCTCGTTAGTCCTCCTTGGAGGACATGCCTTCACGGGCCTCGCTCCCTACTGCTAGATGATCCTTGGCTCCTGCCAGCCTCTCCCCAGCCTCTGCCAGGAAATCTATGCCACAAACTCACAGCCAGACCAGGGGACCTACAAGGGGAGGATGGGATGGGAACGAAAAGCAGTAGCCTTCATCTTAGTACAACCTGTTAAAACAGTCGGTGAGTAAGCCGACAAGACTGTGATTGCAGCCAGCAGAAAGTACCCCAGCACCAGCACGGTGCCACCGACACACACAAGCCAGGTGCCAGGTGGCCGGCTCTGAAAAACCCTGGGGAGCACCTGCAAAAGGCCGTGTTTCTCCCTCCCTCCCCACTTCCCGCTTCGGCTTCCTCTGGCGCATGGTGCCGAGGTGGACGACGAGACCAGCCTGACCGGCTTTGCCCCGACCCGACCGCTTCTTAGTGCCGGAGAAGGTCCTGGAGCCCCAGGGACATTCCCGGCGCAGGGAGGGAGAAGCACTGTCCATGGTTGGGATTTGGGCAGAGCTTTCTTCCCCGTGGCATCTACCGCCGGGCGGCCTCGTGTCAGCAAGCTGCCAGGGAGAAGAGTGGCCAAGATGGAAACATCAACCTCACCGCCTCAGCCTTGTATTTCAAGTAACACTTTAAACATATTGGGTTTTCTTTTCTTTTTTTCAAGTTGGAGGAATTTGCTGAAATCAACACAAATTCACGGAGGGGCCCACTCAGCCGAATCCATTGTCTTTTCCAGTGAAAAACGCTCTGGTCAGAAGGAGATATCAGGCTGCGTCTAGAAGCCCTGGAGGCCTCCAGAGCACACCTTGAAGCACCATGCAGCCGGGCCAGACCTGCCGACACCTGAAAGCAACGTGTCCCCAGGGATGGAGAGCGCCTGCAGAACAGCCCAGTACTTTTGGTTAAGAGGCATACGGTACCAGGTTAGAGGTGATTTGGTGATCAGAGGGAAGAGCTACAGGGGAGAGAGCTTTCGGAGCTGTATTTCACCAACTGCTTCCCCAATCTGGAATTGCAGGTTCCTCTGCTCCCCTTAGAAAGTTGTACAGTTACACAAACACGCACACACACACGGATTAGAGAAACTTCCCTTGGGAATGGCTCAGCTAAAGGTGACGATCCTGCCCCAGGATGATGGTCCCAAAACTCCTGATGCCAATGGTCTGGGGCAGCATTTTCCAGCCCCTGGGAACAACAGACAAACAGGTGAGGATGCTGGAAATCCATGTTCTCACTTTAAATTAAAATTAAAGCTTTCTCATTTATTCTCCTTTCCTGCTGCAGCCAGAGCAGGCCAGCCCTGCACAACGGCTGGCATCCCTTTCATTAAAAGCTCACGCAGGATGGGTACGCACGGAGCAGGTCAGAGTTACGGCCCACGAGATGAGCAAAAGCTGATGCTCTCCACCTGCGTGTCCTGGAAGCAAGTCCAGAAAGTACTTAAGGCGAGACACTGCCAACGACACGCAATAAATTATGGATTATAATGGGCATTTTTTATGAAGGCCCGATAAAAAGCAGAAGGCGCGCTTCTTCAGGGGAAGGTAAAGAGGAAGAAGTGGCTGGAGGGAGAGCCAGACACAAAGCAGTGCCAAACCCCAGCGCCAAAGCACCCAAATTTCGAATTGCGGGGCGTCCTCGTTTGAGTTTATGCTTCGAGGACGCCAGGGCACCATCGAGCTCCTTCGCCTTCCTTGCCTGCCGCGGCTCAGCTTGCAGGCAGATGGGCTCCGCTGCTTCTCGGACACAAAAACACAGAACAAGGAAAGATTTACTCCTGTCCTAAATTATTCAAAAGAAAAGGGACTGCGCATCTTTAACAAGCCATCGTTTTATGAAGCAAGGTTAACATTTTTACTTGATTCAGGAGAATATTATAAACTCTCCGGGGTCCATTTGAGGACTTTCTACTTTGAGCAAAGGAACGGACTCAGCACTTTTTATATTATTTAGAGAATAAAATTAACCCTTAATGGCCCAAGCTGGTATGTCTCCTCCCCAGTTAAATATGGCCCGCTCAGCAATTTCTCCCCATATATAATTACAGGCTGCTATCCATCATCTGTAGGAGAATGCTTTTCTGACACTCTAAAAGTGACACGGTAAGCACTTTTACTAATAGAATAAATATTCTAAATATCTCTTTTATATTTTCATTTAAATTGGAATATTTTAAAATAATTGTAGGGACACAGCCTGCGTGGCCAGGGCTCCGCTGGAGGGAGATGGCGGGATGGCTCTCTTTTCCTTAGGAGGCGATGTTTATCCTGCCCGCCATCCTCTCCGGGCACTGCCGCAAAAAGTAATTAGGCAAAGGCTAATTTATTAGCGTGTTCATCCCCTCCTGCTGACATCCCGCTCTCCTTACAGCTCTTACTTTTGGCTTTTCTGCCTCCCTTTGCACAGCTTTTGCCCGGTAGCTGTTTCTCCCCCAAGAAGGGATGGTTTCGCCTTGCTTTGCCTGGGCCAGAAAGTGCCGCTTTTCGTTGCGTTGGCGCCTTGCCACGCGCCGGGGCAACTTGGACGCGAGCCTGGCGGGCTTCGCGTGATAACGCCGCCGTGCCAGGCGCTACTCGAGCGCCAACTGCTTCAGCTCGGCCCGTCCACCCCAGCACATCTTGGCTTCACCTTCCCTCTCGCCGGCTGCATTTTGGGACTACTCTTGCCAACAAGCGTCTTTGCCCCCTTGGCTTTGCATCTCCCACCTGCACCCTGGGATGGGTCTAAGAGCAGCCCAGCAATTCGCTTTATTGACCTTATTTATTCGCTTTTAATTGATCTTTATCAACAAGAGCTACTGGAGTGGAGGAAAAGAGGATACGAGCCTCTTCAGGCTCCAGTTTGGAGAAACACATAGCTCCAAGTGTCCAGCAGTTCATACAGGCAAATTCCTTAGGGAAAAGCAGCCTCAGTCCTGAGGAGGGGGGAAAAACTTTCAGGAGCAGCAAGTCTGCAAAATCATGTCGAGACAGACATTTATTCATGTGTCTCTATTAAATGCAATAAAATAATATCATTCTACGGACCTGCTGGGGTCCCTGCAATCTGGCAGACTTTACAAAAACAAAATGATTGTTTCATTACTGGCTTGTTTTTCAGCTGGAGAGCTGGTTTAAAGCAGCGTTTGCATGGTCGCTATCATGGTTTCAACACGGTACCTACCACAGCCTCCACTTTGGAGCAAAAGTTGGCATTTTGTTCTGCTCACTCACTGTCAGCACACATCGGTGGCTAAACCCAACCAGATAATTTATCTGATGCTCTCCTCTATGTAAAGCCTCCAGGCAAAGTCCCTGGAGAGAAGCAGAAGGAGAGACGAGGAGGGGTCCCATCCTCTAGCGAAGTCAGCACGGGGCTCCCAGGGATGATACAGCATTGCACAGGACATAACGAACGCTGGACCAAAAAGCCACCACATATAACTGCGTGCAGAACAGAATGGGCCACCAGCTCTCAACTACATCAGAAACGCGTAACCTCCATGCGTCTCAGAGCCCGCCTTGGTCTGTTTATTAATCCTTTTTGGCAAATTACCGGCTACCCTTTCTGAATTATTACTCTCCACTTCCGGGGTTAGGTACTCTCGAATATGATGGTAAGTTGGTGCTCCAAGTTGGCCTTTCTGAACCCCTCCGTGTCACCTGGCAGTCCACGGTGCGTTTCCTAAGTAGAGAAATCCCAAGGAATTTGGGGATTTTCACTCCCATGTTGGCATGTGGCTAAGGCGGCTCACAAGCATCCACCTTTACTTCCATGCTTCAGACCTCCGTGCTACAATAGCACTTTCATACAGACACATCAAAAATAAAATCTAAGGAGGAAACTCTTGGCCCAAGAGATAACGTTGCATGCTTGTAGTTAACAGTCTGGAGAAAGCCTAGGACACAATCGGGGTAGATCAACATGGCAGAGCAGGAAGCTACAGATCCACTCTTAACACATACAAACGACTTCATGTCATACCGACAGTTGTCTTTACAAACTCCTGTCTCTAGAGGTGAACAGAAATTCATCTCTGCATAGAACAAGCTACTGCAATTTGGCAGCTGCAAGTTCATTTGCAAGGAAGGTCCGTCACCGGCAGCGCCCTGCTGCTCTTCACCGGTCCATGACTGGGGCAAGCAGCCCTTAAAAAAGGCAGAGGAATGTTTAAATAACCCTAGTAATGGCAAGGAACTCACGGAAAAACAGATTTTGTTTTTTATGCAAAGCAGCAGAACGAACAGAATGATTACGGCGCGGTAACGAAAAAGCAGGGCACGTTGGGGCCCTGTGTCCAGCATGGTCCACCTTCTCCCTTAGTTCAACTAAGCCATGCAACAGCCGGGCAGAGGAGAAAACAGGCTGCCAGGAGCTGCCAACAAACACTGAGCAGCGGGAAACGTTACGGAGGCCCCGGAGCAGCTCCTCCCAGGGAAAGACTGGCAGGGGGACTGGGAGCCGCAGCATCTTTCATTTGTTTCCTTTCTGCCTGCCTGTAAGGAAACAAAGCCGTTTTGCCCATAAACCTTTGGAAAGGCGCAGGACTGCTGTTCATCACGGCCAGGTGTTCGGCAGCTTCCAGCTCAACGGCTCCCTTCGGTGCTATAGCTCGCGTGAAAAACAGCTTGCGGATTACCAACACGCTTAACAAGTGGCGCGGCTCCCTCCCACCGGTACTTCAGCCAAAGTGCATCAAATCACCGCAGCCGGCTGCGCGGGCGGGGAGAGACGCGCCGAGTGCAGTCCCCTCTTTTACCTTTTCTCCCATGGGGCAATAGCCTTTGAGGAAATCCTGGCACACTTCGGCTTTCCGGGACACGTAGACGTGGCTGTACGGGCAGTTGCTGTTGCTGCAGATCCCCTTCAAGAAGTAAGAGCACACGGGCATCTGCAAGGGCAGAGGATGGTAAAACCGTTAGCGCTTCCCTCGCCAACCCGCGTAGATTAGGAGCCGTTCCAACGCCCAGAACTGAAATAAAACCATGACACGCATAAAATAAATATATGCCTTTTGCCAGCCACTGATCCCAGAGGTATTTTTAGCTCTTCTATGGAGCTCTTGCAATACAGTTCCCTGACATTGCACAGTCCCGTTGCATCTATGCACGGGGGCAAACCCGCTGCCGTAGCATCCTTCAGGCTACTGGAGAGCGGGTGGGAAGAGTGAAAACTGCCATCGTGGAGAAAACTGCCTTTTTACACAGCACAGAGAAGGGACAAGGGAACCGTAATAAACTCAGCCGTCACGGGGTGGAGGGACTTCACCGAGCGGCAGATCCGCCGTCCCCTGCCACCGTGAAGCTGCCGGCACTCCCGACTAACCTTGAAGAGGAGAGAAAAGCAGGTGGCTGCTCTCCAGACTCCTTCGCTTGCAAAAGACGCCAACTCAAGCGCACAGCCGCGCTGCCAAGGGCCGCAAACCTTGTTTCCCAGGGGCGCTCACGAGGCTGCATCCGGCGCAGCCACTCGGGGCGTTCCCGCGCTCTCCGTCCCGGTGCTTTC